GAGGGAAACACAGCTGGGGCAAATTAGACCTGACGAGACAAGAAAACCTAAACTGAACACACTAAGATAACACAGACTTTCAAAGTAAAACAGGAAATACATGACAGTCACGGAAAAACAAAACACTGACAACACCGAATCGTAACAAAAGGCAGGACACCGGTCTGCATGGTTACAGATTCAAATCTAAGCATACACACAGACCCTTTGAATCCACGCTAGGGTTGGGCGATTGGATGAATATATCGACTACTGACGATAGGCTGAGCCTGATTGTTTTTACAAGGGCGATTTATTTACTTATTTTCCCATGAGTAAGATTGCTAATAACGATGGAGCTTATAGAAGCAGTCAAAAGTCCAAATAATAGTGCTGCTTTAACAACACCCTTTTTCATCTGCGAGCAAATGCACCCTCTTCAGAGTGCGCCTAAATGCTTGATGGAGCTGCAGAAGCTGCTGATAGCCTAGCATACTCAGCTGGATGGTGGACATGTACATGCTCATGCAAGTTAGTCGTGTTTGAGTACTTGCTCGCACTACACATCTGCACAAGCGACAGACCGCTTTGGTTACATCTTTAGGTTTATCTCTTTCATCCGAAATTGGCAGCTTTATATATATTTTTTAGTGCTGTCAGCATTAATGCGCTGTCATCATGACTAACATGATTAACAATTAACCCATCTGGAGTGCAGACCGAGTCTAAATCCCTGAAATGTCTCTGTCAATGCTAGAGATGTGCAAAGCAGCCGGTATCTGTATCTGTATAATGCTGACAGCCCTAATTTTTTGGGACATTAGGTCGTCCATGTTTGAAATTCTGTGTAATCAGTCCGTGCATGATTACATTGATCTGCCCATCAAAAAGTCTGCGCATGCGCGAATGTATCGCCCATCGTCGATTATTAGACTGACGATTGTCGGTTGGAAAATTTTTACATATTGTCCAGCCCTAATCCATGCTTGGTCTGTTTTCTTGTCAATGAAAAACCATTTTTAATAAATCATTCTTTTGTTGCTTTAATTATGAATACAACAAAATCATGATATTTTTGCTATAAAAACATGACCCATTAGTCCCATTTTCTAAAAGATTTTAACGATTTACACTTACCTGTAATTTTAATATGCTACAGGCTGCAGCACCTTTATTCTAAAGCTCAAACATGTGTTTCAACATCATACAGATTTTTCTGGGATCAAAAATTACTCAATAACGGCTCCTTTGAAGTTTGCTAACCTCCACTGTAGCTGGTCATGGAAAATGTCAGGAGTCGTATTCTCCATTTAAGCTTTTATGCAGATAATATCAGTGATTTCAGCTAATTAACTTGATGTTTTTGTACCAGAACCTGCATTTATGTATTCAAGCTCTACAATATTTGAGACAGTTAGCTTATAGCTTTGCCTAATGATGCACATGCAGATATAGAAAATTTAATTCCATTTCAAGTTGCTGTGTTGTATTAACCAACAATAACCAGGTATTTACACCTGGTGATTTCTCCACTTGTCACAGAGGCTTGTGATTTCTGTTTGGATAAAAAGTGTTTCCACTAATGAGCAAAATGCTGCTGAGCATCCGTATAAAACTATCATTAGTAATCATGGTGATTTTTTTTATTATATTTGCTTGTTTGGGACATAAAGGAAATGATGCAGCAAATGTAATATTATATTAATACAACCTTGTGCAATATTTAGAGAGCTGGATCCAGTCTATCATCTGAGACATGAGCTGACAAAATAACAGAAACACTCGTTATGAAGCGTGCTCTGGGCCAAAATTGTACTGACTTAAGAAAGCTTAAAATAACTCCATCATTATTTAGAGGAACATGATCAATGAAAATAATTTAAAAAAGTGTTTTGTAAACAAAAAAATAAAAGATGAAATCTCAACATTTAGTTTACCAAGGCTACATGTATGTCTTCTTTAAAGCTTTTAAGCTTTATTAGTGGAACAGCTCGATTATTGTTGACTTGAGATGAATATAAATGAGTACTGAGTGTAAAGAGCAACAGAATCAGAGGTGGAGGACATGTTGGTGGCCTAAATCAAGCAAATCCTACATCTGGATTTATTCATCCACTAGTACTTTTATTTTTCCTGCTGTGTGGTCAGATTTACAAAAAGGCAGCAGATTAAAATGTTTGGTGGTGAGCAGAAAGCTGCCTGTCTGAAGAAACTGATTATTTTACTTGGACGGCCTCATTGGACTGTGAGTGTTGCCTAAATAAGCCCGATGAGTTAAACCAGAGTATCTTCACAAATGAGACGCTGGATTCCAAAACTGTTTGAAGATGCCTGATTGCTCATTGAAAGTCAGTCCAAATTTGTGAAATGAGTTGTAATGACATGCATTACTGCACTCATTGAGGTGCTGTTATTTGATCCATCCAGGCAACTGTGAATGGCCATCTGTTTTGCAGACAGGAAACTATCCGCTATTGTGACACAACACGAGCTGAGTCTAAGAGTAATGATTCTGACAGATCGATGAGCAGAGCAGGACAGCGGCTGCTGTTCGGTGCTTTGATCACACAAACACGAAGGTATTTTAAACTCATCCCTCTGACGTGGAATTCAAATGTTCATGACAGTTATGGATTCATGG